ATAATGCTGAATTATATAGGCATTTAGTGTTCACGTGAATATAATATAAACATAGTTAAAGTCCTGCTCGTTCCCTGAATAAGAACAGGGAAACCGTAGATGAGTGCTGCTGATAAACTATGTGGCGTTTTGAATCAAAGACAAGCCCATTTAGAGAAGAGTTGAAAGACTATGTACCATGGACAAGGGAAACAGGAAGACCTCAAGGTAATAGTGGCAGTGATATACAACTCTCCACCAAATACAAGGTGACCAAGGTTAGCGTACAATGACATTGACAAAGTAGGGATGCAAATTCTGGAAGCACTGGCACAAAGAGTTCACAGAAGAAAGGCAAAGCCATTAATTATGGGAGACTTCAACTATTAGGAGATAAACTGGGGGAACCTGAAAAAGAATGGAGGATCCTAAAACGAAAAGCAATCGTGTGGAAAAACAATAATAGCAGTTTTAAAGAGCTAACATTTAAAATGAACCACAAGGATGAGATTAGATTCATCGGGATTATATCTGGTACTCTTCCTATGTGAAGCAGACATTAAAAAAAAAAGAGGAGTACGAAGAACTACAAAAGGTCAGTAACCAAACTGCATTACGTCTTGACTACTTAGTAGAGGTGGGAATAATGTGAGAACAAAGGACACAAAGCAAATCAGACTATAGTTGATATAACTGGATGACCATTTCTGCATGGATGGTATAGCATGATATACACCTGTAAGGAGACAATGAAATGCAAAAGTGCACTTAAAGCATATGGTTTATCAAGAAGTACAAGGAGGAAAAATAAATGTGTTAAATACCATGGAAAACATATACTGGTACGAAGACATTGGAGAACATAAAAGCTACAAATAAACTATGCAAAAATTAAGGAAGAGATAGAAACGCATTCGAAAATGACAGGGGTAAAGGTCAAAGTAGATCCGAAGCTCCTACACAGCCACATCAGGAGGAAGACCACTGTAAGGGACCAAGCATGGGGAGGGAGGAAACAAATGAAGAAAGGATGGCTGGGATGGAAGTTTAGAAATGAATAAGAGTAGAAGATACCGTCACTGAGGTAATACGAAAAATAAATGGAAGGGAGTGGATGTAGCTATATGAAATTAACAAAAACACAAAAGGTAAAGAATATACAAATATAAATGGACTCATGATAAATAGGAGACCGGGTGAAACTTTGGCGAAGAACCTGCCTTGTATGGGCCAGCAGGCCTTCTGCGGTGCTCCTCTATTCTTATGTTATTAAGGCACAATGGAGCCGTGAAACCCTGTAATAATAATCTATATAAAAAACTTGCTATAAATAAGGCAACTAGCAGAGAGATGAAAATAGAAAGACTGGAAGCAATGAAATGCAGTCCAGAATTGTTGACGAGTTTTGGTAAAACTGATATTTAGCTAGAAAAAAGTATAGAAGTTTGAAAAATCATAAAAAGAATCTCTCAAACTTCCTAAGAGTTTTATGATAGAATAACAGCCATAAAACAGGAAAGACAGTCATAAATAAGTGCACTTTCCTGGATTATAAGAAGGCATACGATACTTTACATTTAACACTTACAGACTAGAAAGCAGAGAAAATGAAAGACTAAGTGGCTGCAAGAACACCTGAAGAACACACAAGAAAAGTGAAGTTAGTGTGATGGGGAAAGATAAAAAGTGTGAGGTCACTGGTGACTTGCCAGAGAAAATACAGTTCTAAACCTTGCTGCTTGCTTATGAAAAACAGTAAACAATGAGAGAACACTCTGGCAAACGACTGAGACAAAGGCTGCACATGTGGTCAAGTACTTGGCTACAGACTAGACTACCCTTCACGAGGAAGTACATTGATGTTAGTGGAAAGCTCTTGATCAAAGGAATTGGAGCTACCTTTCCTTGGATCAAAATTGGCTATCTTTTATTCTCCAGATCTTATATGACTCCATGGAAAATAATTCGGTACAGACGTACGGAATGCAGCGGAATATGAAACATGAAAAACGACCGTAAAGATAGTCCAGTTTGGACGGTGACACTCCACAAGAAGAATTATCTGCTGGTGAACATTACACCGAACATATCACCTGAAGCACATACAAGAGAACTTCAGGAACGCATGACTATCATACTCGTGAACTTTCAGGGCTCATAAAGAATCCTTATGAGTTGTGAAGAAAATGCCGTAATGGTAGCGGACACCGTACTTGGAATCAGGAGAGATATGACGAGTCCATGAGGTTAGAAAGCCGCTACCTGAGTCCATCCAAGGTTGAGAGGCGGCGCCTGGGAGCTGAAGCTCAACTTCCAGAGGATATTCAAGATTTCGTTGGTTCTCTAGGTCGCTCCTTCTCTAGATAATGAACGATAGTCCTCAGCAGCTATCCCCGGTGTAGACGGCCAAGTTCTCTGTTCTATGTTTCTCTGTCTGTCTCTGTCTCTTTCTGTGTCACTCTCTCTCTGCCCACAGTATCCTAGGCGAGGTGGGGGCTCTCCTCCCCTCCTGTACTGACCTAACAAGGTGAGGTGTGTTGCATTGTTGGCCCAGGACAGACGAGGCTTACGGCTAGCCACTCATGCCCTCATTCTTTCTTAATCCTCCTACTCCCTCTCCCTCACTCCGGCTGCCTGCCTCCCCTTTTCACTTCGCTATTTGAAGTGGACAATTCTGCCTAGTATATTCAACGTTTCTATTTTCGCGCCTGTTCCTGCATCTATGTTATTTTATAGAGAGAGAGAGAGAGAGAGAGAGAAAGGGAGAGAGAGGACAGCGTGAAACAAGCTTTTATGCCACAAGACGGGCAGAAAGCAGCAACTTCACTCTGGCTGTACCCTTCTCCAGAACATCACTCCATCTGAGATCATACATACCCAGGATGACTCGAGTATGGAACACATTCGTACAGCATAATGATGTCAACGAGATAACGTCAGTTGATCAAATGAAAATGCTGGCCCACAGATGGCTCCAACTTCATCCTGTTCCCTACTTGTATGTCTCATAACAAAAAAAATGCTTTCAAATGAGCTGATGTAGGTAACAGCTCTTAGCTTGCCAATAAAGTTAGGAATCCTTAACCTGTAAATAGCTGTCAATAAAGCTAGGGATCCTTAACCTTGTCAAACCCTGTGTAAAAAAAAAAAAAAAAAAAAAAAAAAGAGAGAGAGAGAGAGAGAGAGGTCTATTCCCAATGCATGAACCAATATTTCTTTTACCTTCGGGATGAACCCAACTGCGACAACGTTTAGAGAGATGTGGGGCACTTTAGATACTAACTTTGATACGATAAAAAATAAATGCACCTCTAGAAAGAAATCCCGTTCAGTCAGTCTTGGGCAGACTATCTTAGATGAGGCACTCGGCAGACAAGCCACCTTTACCTGGCTTTCTACATCCTCCCAAGACCCGTTACGAAGACTAGAACATGCAATTAAGAGCTCAGGTGACTTCATCCCGACTCGGGTATCACAAGACTTCGGTTTAATCCACAGTTTCTAACGGCCTTCCAGTGTGGCTCACGTAGAGAACGGTCATCCACAGTTACTAGTGTGACTTTCATGGTGGATGATCATCCAGGGTTACTAGAGCGACTTTCATGGTGGATGATCATCCAGGGTTACTAGAGCGACTTTCATGGTGGATGATCATCCAGGGTTACTAGAGCGACTTTCATCGTGGTCATTTAAGGCTCCTTTTCTTTCTAAACAAAATTGGATAGATTAGCAGTGTGCTGCTACCCATCTATATATGATAATTACACATTGGGAACAAAACCTAATTATGTTTAACTGTTATAGTCCATCACACTGGATGGGGCTCACACAAAATGTTGAAATCTGTCACCCTGGGCTGTAAGATATCAGGACAATGAGGATAAGTATTCTATAAGGGTTTATCAGCTACACCTGGAGTTTTAAATGTTTTTTTCCAGTAAAGCTGGATGTTTGGATGAGAATCTCTTAATTCTAGTGTCAGCTGGTACTATATACATACCGACCTGTACCATCTCTTCGAAGGATTTAGCGTTCATATCAGAGCTAAGAATAACGTGTGACTGGTTTTGAGAGTAGTTCTCTTGCTTCGCGCCCTGGGGCCAGGCTGCTCAAATGGCCGCCTCATTAACGATTTATGCAAAGAAATTTAAACCAAAGAGATGAACCCGAGGACGCGAAACTTTACAATCGCTACCAATGGTTCTAGTTCCGGAGGTGCTAACTTGCTTTAGGATGCCAAAGCGGTTCTACAACCAGCGTAGCCACCGCTCGGCCGGTTTTGATACTCAAGTAACAGATGATACATCACATCCAAGACTAAATTCAGCAATGTTTTAAAAAACAGTAACAGGAGAAAAAGAATCCGGGTTGCTTGGCTCCCATCGTCTTGTTGCCATCCTCTTCAAGAGTGAGTAAATGGCCTGGCCATTCCTCTCTACACCCTATCAAACATGTCCTTGAGATTGCACAGAGGAAAAATGAGAAGTATGTACTGCAGTACGGAAATCCCGGCGGTGATGCGTGAGAGGTGGGATGACCGAAAGGTGTTGTAAAGTGGAGATTAGCGAGCCTCCAGGCGAGTCCTGGGATTGAATTCTCTACTCTTTACTACTTCTCCACTTTATCCTCTTCCTCTCTTCTCATCTGCATCCTTACCTTTCTTTCTACCTGTTCCTCTTCAGCTTTCTCCTCCTTCACTTCTTTCTTTATCCATCCCATTCTTTCTTTTTCATGTCCTCTGTTCCGTTACTTTCTTGTCCCCTTCCTCATCTATACCGTTCCTCTCCCATTTTCTCCAATTCCCTATCCCCTACTTTCAGTCCCTCTCCATCAGTTTCTCCCATTTTCCTCTTCCTCTTTCTGCTTCCCTTCCCCATTCTATGCATCTCTTTCGGTGTCATTACAAGCACGTTTAAGCAGTGTTAAGTGACCTCCCACAACACTCCACAGTTTTACACATCTTTAACGATGAAATGACCTGCGTTGTTCAAAATTTTAAAAACGAATCATAACCTACTGACCCCATCTTGCTGGTTCTCCCGGTGTGGGGAAGGGTACGACAGTTTACAGGCGAACAGCTGAAAAAAAAATAATGATGCCTTAGTTTTCGAATTACGCGCGTAAACGTCAACACTAATTCCAATTAAGGTACAAAAAAGGTTGTAAGCGCCGTACAAATACACCCAGTAAAGAACTAAGGTTTATTTCTTCCTTTCGCTAGCCCAAGTAAAAAAAAATAGAACGATCCAGGTTATAAGGAATGATAGCCAATCATCCCTCCCCCACACATACACTCATTACTCTTCCTCAGAGGGAAACCTGTCGTTCCCCTCTGAGGGAGAGTAAGCCGAGAAAGAAGAAACACTCTTGCCATCACTCATTCTATCACTGTCTTGCCAGAGTGCTAACATTACAGGTCAGGATGCCTAGAGGTGCTGGTCGACTGCAGCAGTCGCCAGAACCCAGGCAACGGGAGAAAACATTAATTAAGAACAAGAGTAGCGATGCTGTTGTTGGACTAATGCAGAACCATGAATTGGAACGGAAACTGCATAATGACTTGCGGCTTGACAATGGTTCTGGATAGACTGAAACGTTATCTAATTTTCAGTTCAGTTTTGTGGGTTGGTTGAGAAAAGCATCCTATAGATAAAAGCCCTCGACATAGTGTTAGGGGATCGGTGTATCACAGACAGGCACTCGTTCTGAAGTCTTTCAAACTTCCACTCCGAGAATCCTACCGGCAGATACTTGCTAACAGAAACCCTCCGCTCTGGAGCTCTACCACAAACGAACTCCCACTTTCTCTCTTTAAAAAAAAAAAAAAAAACAGTAAGCAAAGTAACTGCAAGTGATCGGTCTTTCAAGCTGTTAATAGATAAGAACTGTAATGTGTCCCCTGCCTGACTGGCCTTATTCATCACCCTGATAACTAGGTGTGAGGTGGTCGGTGGAAGTCGATGTTGTGGAAGGGGAAGTGAATGCTTAAGGTTGTTGGGGGACATCAGGATGTGGAAGGTGATGTATAGGGGAAGACAGGAACCGGGGAAGATGAGAGAAGTAAGGAGCTGAAAGGTGAGGGAAGGTAGAGAAGGTTAGGTAATATAGGACTAAATGTGGGAGCCATGGGAAAGTGTAGGAAAGATAGGGCAGTATGGGGATGATGGGGGCGTGTAAGAAAACAAGAATAACAGTGAGCTGGTGAAGCGAAAAAGACCTAGACAACCTTCCAGACCGTCAGCATCAGTGGTTAAAGTGGACCTCGAACCATACCCTCGAAGGTCAATGATAAAAAAATCTTTCACTGCATAATTATTTCCTAAGAATGTCATTTCCAGAGTGTCTTAACCTATCTAGGAAAGTGTTAGATAATCTAATTTGGGAGTCTTCTGATCTAGCATACGAGAGACCCTCTGTAGCCTAGTGTTTTGAGACACAAAGTAACCTAAAAAATCCGCTGCTGTGACCCAGTCATACCATGTGGTAACACTGGACACAAAGGTGCAAGCATTTACCGTGAGGGCTTCCTCAAGTCAACTAACTTAAAGTCCTACACACAGCGTAAAATTTTTACAACAAATCTGGCTTTGTAATCTGTTCGTCAAATGTGAGCACATTGCTATATTTCCCGGATATTTGTCTACAAAGAGAGCAAAAACTATGAGGGCTGCTTCTAGCTCTCCCCCTCAAGAGGTGAGAGGCATCAAGGCAGTGTACTGAAAGACTTTTGACCTATTCGATATGCCGCAATCATAGTCGCTGGAGCGTGCAGCCAGAGAGCCTTCACCCTCCTGGTCCAGCAGTGACAGCAGAGCAAGGCTGATGTCGCTCTCTTGGCTTCCTGCCTCTACTTGCAGCCAGATGATGCCGCTCTCTTGGCTTCCTACCTCTAGAAGCTAGATTATGCCGCCCTCTTGGTCACTTGTCTTTGCCTAAGGCAATCTGAATAGGTGAAGAAAGAAAAGGGCGTAGCAAGGAGAGAAAAAAGGAACAGTAAAATGGAAAGGGGTGTGTCTTTGTAAAGTGTTCAAAGAGGAAAGGGTGAGATGATGAAAGGTTTAAGGAAAGGATTGTCTGAAGTGTTACATATTAAAAAAAAAAAAAAGGAGGGACGCTCATAGTTTCTGAGAGGCTAAAGGGAATACTGAGCAAGTGACCGAGAAATTAAATGTGTCAGCGAGAGGTAGCTAATGTTGCAGAAGTAATGATGTCGATGAAGCGGTACTCTACAGTGGGTGGTTATGTAGTTAGGGCCTCACGGTCATCAAGAACCATCCATGTCGCCCTAGCTGCTGTTCATCTCAGTCATATGGCTCAGTTTGACAAGTTAATTGTTATTTTAAGTACCAAAACTTTAAGTCGTAGAGTGAAAGTGTAGTGACTTGGTTATATTGGTAATTTTAGTACTATCTATTCATAACCTTGAAAATGACACCCTTCAGGGTATAGAAAGCTTTGAGAAAATACAAGTTCTCAAGGGCGACCTCCAGACATAGCAAGTTGACAGACGCTGCATATTTTTCAATATACCTAAGACACAGAACCATTGATAGTAAACCATACCACGGGCGGGATTTGAACCCGCGGTCAGTCTCAAAACTCCAGACCGTCGCGTTAGTTTTCAGACTCTCTGACCGCGGGTTCAAATCCCGCCCGTGGTATGGCTTGTTTGCAATCGTGTCATTACGATTTCGTGAGTCACCATTGATAGTACCAGTAAGAAGCATGCAACTTAATGCACAGTTATTCCTTACAGAGCTAAAGAAAAACTTTTCTGAACTTCACACACTTTCTCGAAAATTAAAAAAAAATGACTTGAAGAGAGACCTGGAAGAAAAGACTGGTAACGGAGAAAGGGGCTTCTCGCCCTATAAGTGAGAATTACCCAGCCATAATCAGAATAAATAAAATTCGCACAACTTGTTTTAAGACGAGAGACAAACTCTGATATTTACGGTGACAGAATTGCTGCTATCAAACTAATAATCGGGGAACTGAAAAATTAACAACGTATGACAGTTGGGGAAAAAAAATTAGTTAAAAAAAACTTGAAACGTCAAGCTAAAACACGAACTATCATCGAAATCCTAAACATTCGACTTTATTTTTATCTAAAACCTTAGTATAAGACACTGGAGCACAGAGTCATAAACTGGAGATAATGAGAGTACGAACGACTCCATCAAGGCGACCTGACGTGGCCAACCTTTATGGAGGACGCTGATGTAAGACTTAATTTTAAGAAAAAGTCGAATTTTTAGCACTCAAATTTCTCATTTGAGATAGTAATAAGGCCTAATCAATAGTCAATAAACATATAAAATCAAATAAAACCTGTGTTCTTGTCCGTTTTCATTTATATTTTATCATTCATTTTTTTTAGTGTTTGATGCCCATAATGGTAGAAAGATCTTTAATTAATGAATATTTTCGTACATTGTGTCAAGCCAAATATTGGGTATTTTAAGGCTGCGAGAGACAGTATTTAAGTGTATTGAAACTCTCCGATACATTTTAACTTGCCTTAGAATCAATTCAGGAACCTTTATGTTGTGATCTGACTATTGTCACTGAGCTCTAGTCATTATCACTTGCAGTCCCACTACTTGGATCACTGATTCCATTTATAGCGAGAACAGCTCTGGGACACTTGATATACTAGTTGGTGATAAAAAGAGAAGCTGACATCAACTCCTTTAGATTTACTGCAAACTGATAGCTAGATTTAATGCAAGCGAGTTCTACCACCAGCCGTATAAAACAGGAGCTTCAGATAAGCCGAGATACAGAGGATGGGGAAGAGTGGAGTTTGAAAAAATGTCTCGTCAACTATCTGAGGTTTTCCAGCATAGGCTGACAGAAATATATCTTGCTTTGGGAAATATATCTTGCTTCTACGTCCAATATACAGCTCTTATATAAAATAGGGTAATTTAGCATTGTAAATGAATCTAAGTTTATTTAATAGAAACTTGCACTCAAAGTTGCCTAAGGAAGAACTCGATATTGTCTCCAGTTTACAACTCAACGTTCAAGAGACTGCACACCAGTAATTCTCAGACTGACCTGCGGACACATCTTGCACTGGTACTTCCGGGCCGAGCCATTATTGGGCGGGTTCTGACCGATGCCCGGCGGAGTGGGCGGCATCTTGGCGGCGTTGATAGGTTGAGGGACGATAAGCATGGAGGGCGTGGAGACCGTGGGCGGCGACGCTGATGACGCCGACCCGTTGCTGCGGGCGTAGAGGGACGCGGGAGCCATGTTGTGAGGGATTTCAAGGCCTCGTCCATCTAGCCTCTCGTCCAAGCTGTTAGGGTGACCTGCAACACAAGATCAACTCTGGTTAAGAGCTATCAACCTACATTCCATGGCAGATATCACGATGGAATTTACCTTTCCTGTCAAACATTTATGATAAAGAATGATATATGTAACCGAGATTAAGAGTATGAAGATATTAAAGTTCTGAATGAGGAAAGCTTCAATGACTTCGCTGTAATCACTACCAATTAGATTTAGATTCTCCTCAAGACGCGAGTTTATTGGGCAGCGTCATTCATCCTTAGAATGAGCTACCACCACAATGGCAGTACAAAACATCAGCTTAAATTGTTAAAACGCCATTGGAAAATACCTCCATCCTTGACTGTTTCACTGTTCATATATCTCCACATTTACATTTACGGTCTTTTTCTCTGAAGGCAGAAAAATATCACAAGATCAACACGATCCTTAAATATTCAATAAAAGTTTATATATTTATCGATGTATATATATATATATCGATTATATATATATATATATATATATATTATATATATATATATATATATATATATATATATATATATATATATAATATATATATATATATATATATTTAAGGATCGTGTTGATCGTGTGATATTTTTCTGCCTTCAGAGAAAAAAACCGTAAATGTAGATGTAGAGATATGTGAAAGTATAATATTTCTAGGACAAGCCTGGCCCAGGACATGCCAGAATTTCTATACTGGGGGAGGGGGGTATCTTAGGGGTGACTATCTGGTTGGAACCGAAGGCTAGGAGATCTGTGAAGCAGCATTATTATTACTGGGGTAGGGGGCTCTGCTGACTAAGGGTATTTAAGGGGGCTGAAGCCCCCCTTTGGCGCAGCCCCTGCCCATGACCGGGTTGCGGGAGGAGGAAAACTCTCGAAACTCAAGAATGATATATCAACGGTGTGAGTGTTGGTGTGAGTGTTAGTATGTAAAAGTGCCCTGAAATTTATCTAAAGAAAATGAATGACCTCTGTGAACCTTCAATCGTTCTCCCTTCAAGCCTGGCCCATGGTCGGGCTCCGGGAGTAGAAAGACGCTCGGAACTCATCGAAGGTACTTAATTAAGTGTCCATATTTACTACCCTACTAGATGTTTTTCATCTAGCAGATACAGTGGTGAGGACAGTGGTCAGGAGATCGGCATGTATGGATGGCAGGTATATAGGTCAGTTGAGGAGTGGAGGGCAGCAGGTGTGATCAGTAGCAGGTGTGGCGTGCAGCAACAGGTATGAAGGGAATTAGGTGTGGAAGCATATACAAGGTACACAGTTAGACAAGCGACGGTGCCTCGGGTAATCCTACGACCACCGTCTTGGAACCAGTTTACATAACCAGCCCATCAACGCTGACCAAGAAGCCTTTCCGCCCTTTCTCATTAAGATGCAAAGGTTACGGTAAGACTCGAAGGCACCACTGTTTTATACAGTGGGATTAGTTTTTTTAATGTACCTGGATTAAATGGCTTAGTGCCGTCTTGCTGAGGCTGAGACATAGCATCAGTACGTCTGTGTCTTAATATGACTATGGCTTAGAATACGTCCTCTGAGGAATGTTGTGCACTGAGAGGTGTTTGTGTATTAGCTTCCTTTCGTCTTGTCTCCAGGTCAAGTTAAAAGCTGCGGCTTAAGCAGGAGGGGGGGGGAATTATTTACGACGTTTCGCCCACTGTGAAGGAGGGGGGAGAACAGGTCTTAAAGGATTTTCCCCAGCTTAAAGCGTCTCTGAATTATCACTTACATCAATGTCCACCTACCAAAGACAAGTTGGAAAACAAGCTTTTATGCGACGTATCGCATAAAACGTCCCAGTTAAAACGAATTTTATCAACTTGTGTCTTTGTCTTCACGTTTTTATTTCTACCGCTTTATCCACATATTTTCCTCGTTCACACTTTTGTTTTTACTTTGTCTCTTTCCAGTCAACTTTTTTTTATTTTTTAACACATTGGCCGTCTCCCACAGGTAGTGTGTGCCGAGAAAGAAACACTTTAACCATCAGTCACTCCACTGTCTTGCCAGAGGTGCGTCGATACTACAGTTCAGATGCCACTCAACCTGCAATATCCCCACCCTTCTTTCAGAGTGCAGACACTGCAATCCCAACCTCCAGGACTCAAGTCCGGCTAACCGGTTTCCCTGAATCCCTTCACAGATCTTACCTCGCTCGCACCTGTTTTCATATTACTTGTAAATCGTTATGCAATCTTCACTTTACAATTTCCTCGTGTCTTGCATTGGCTTCCGTCTTATCTTTTCTACCTATCACTGCACGAGTCAACACCAGGTATAATTATAACCGTAATTTTTGACGGAGGTGGACCGGTAAGCCAGCGGAAGGCCTCGGTCAGATGACCAAAAGTTCCGACGGCTGGTCATTATTTGACTAAAGCCCGCGTCAGGAAACGCTAGTCCTGTTTCCTGACAACTCTTACCTAACACCAGGTATATTTAGTTTTATCTTAGTGTATATCTTAGTATATCTTAGTGTTTGCTTAACATAAAGGGGCTTTGCTTGCCATAATCTCTTAGACTTGACTTATTACTGTCAGATTGATTCACCATCATCACTACCATTATGAATACCATTACCACTGCAACTATTGAAATCATAATTGCTATAGGCACCAACACAATCACCACTACCATTACTGCTGTTATAACTATTACTATTGATCTCATAATTGCCATAACCACCATCACTACTACCATCTCCATAATCATAAATCGTAGCCATCACCACAAGTCATAACCACCATCCACCATCATCTCAACAATCATTACCATCATAAATCATAACCTCCATCATCTTCTCTCAAACCAACCCTTTCATTCTATTCCCTAATTGCGCTTCATATAATTGTCTTATATAATCCCTTCGACTGTTCTTATCCCCGTCTCTCTCAATTATCCTTACGCTCTCCATTACCTTATCCACCTGCTCTCTCTCCCCATTCCGTCCATCTCTTCCTTCTCCCCCCCCCAATCCCTCTTCATCCTTCTTGCATCTACAGCCACACTGCCCTCTCCTCCTTTACTTCTCAATTCTCATTGTCACACTATTATGTATTCCTCGCACACACACTCATTTACCACACCATTTATCCCTCTCACCTGTTTCTCCGCCAGATTAACCCTGAGTCTCCTCTATCCCAGCACCTTCCTTCCCGCCCCTCCTTTAGTACACCCTCTACCTCAACATCTCTCCCCAACACACCCTCTCCTTTAGTTTCCACTTCTTTATTCTGTTCAGTTGGAATATCACTTTAGCTTGCTTCTCCTTTTCATTATTTCCTCCTCCATTATGCTGACATTGTCCTCTCATTTACCGCTCCATATATTATACTCCCACCACCCTCCACACACACACATACACCAGCCCCTACAACCTTCCATACCCGGTCTATTACCCATAACCAAGTCATCCCTCCCTCCCACACCTGTCTTGGGCAGGTCCCTCCATTGTGCATGGTGGTGGGGTGTATGGATGATGATGGAGGAGGGTGAAGGGGAGGAGGGAAGAGGGTGATAGGAAGGAGTAAGGGGGAGAAAGGGAAAGGGGGATATAAAGGACACGAGAGTAATGTCGTCCACCCACTACCTTCCCATTATTCATTCATAGTGTCATTCCAGTGGAAGGAAGGGACGTGTGTGCGCGAGCGTCCTCTTCGCCTCCTGATTGAGCACTTTACACCACTTGAACTCCACTTGATCACTCGGCTGGAGCTCCGTAAAATTTCCTGCACTCTTCATACACTCAGTAGAGCTGCTCCATTAAATAGGAATACTTCGTGATTTTCTATCCAGGAAAATAAAACTTGAGAGAATGATATACCAGTATCTGGAAAAATTACTATTATTTTCTTCACCGATAATGGAAATATAGATCAAATATAATACTGGAAAAGTATTACTTAGGAATATAAGCAAACACGTTTTCTAATATGCCTTAGTGTTTGCTACGTGTTTTTCTAAACCAACTTGTCGGTATTTATTACCAAGGTCTATACCGCTTAGGAATATACTGAGAAAGGAATAATATAGCACGATATTCAAAAATGTTACAATGATACCGTTGATATACCCGTGACGAGTTCCGATATTTTTTTCTACTCCCGAAGCCCAGTTATGGGCCATGCTTGTCTGGTGTTTGCCTGATCAACCAGGCTGTTGCTGGCCCGCAGCCTCACATATCCATCACAGCCTGGTTGATGTGGCACTTGATGAAGATACTTGTCCAGTTTCCCCTTGAACACTTCTGTTACATATCTACGAGAAACAGAATTGCAGGATATTCTTAGGATAGGTATAATTAGAATAAGCCCACTACAGTTCTCTTAAAAACCGCCACATCGTCTGTTGGTCCAGCCACAGGCTATTTCTCCAACACCAAACCCCATCGATCTATAGCAGAGACTCCGGCACACTTCCCATCTCTCTCAAGTGGACAGGTGGCTTTGGAACATCACAACAACCACACGTGTCTCGGTATCTCATGGTGGATGTGGGGTCTAGGTAGTAGGTTGGTAGACAGCAACCGCCCAGGGAGGTACTACCGTCCTGCCAAGTGAGTGTAAAACGGAAACCTGTAATTGTTTTACATGATGGTAGGATTGCTGGTGTCCATTTTTCTGTCTCATACACATGCAAGATTTCAGGTACGTCTTGCTATTTCTACTTACAATTAGGTCACACTACACATACATGTACAAGCATATATATACACACCCCTTTGGGTTTTCTTCTATTTTCTTTCTAGTTCTTGTTCTTGTTTATTTGCTCTTACCTCAAGGAGGCCTGGTCACAGACCGGGCCGCGGGGGCGTTGACCCCCGGAACTCTCTCCAGGTAAACTCCAGGTAAGGGATGTGTGAGTGAAGGGGTGGATGTGGTGGAAATGGGGAGTGAGTGTGAGGTAGGTGTGGATGAAACTATTGTAAGTAGGTGTGTGTGTGTGTGTGTGTGTGTGTAAATACCTCACGTCAGAGTGCTCGGCACCCAACCGA